CAGTGCCTGGTGACCTGCCTCCTTAGTTGAGTAGTTTCTGTGCTGTGGCTTCAATGTGGTTTGCATGGGATCATTAAATAAACATGTGCCAAAATTTTGCATATTTCCTCAGCAAAATTTTATTATACCTCCATCAAGGAACAGGAGCGCCATACTTATTAAAATCAGTAGAATCCTGTATCCTTAGCTTGGTGGAGAGCGAGCACAAATATGCAGCCAGGGATRCTGTGTGAGGTGACCTGTTGGCCCGAGTCTGTCATGCTCTGTGGTCTCCAGTGGAACGGCAGCTGCAGGACTCTTATTTTTGTGACGTGAAGCATGTCTGGGTGTGTGGCAGAGGGAACTGAAATACACTCTGCTGACTTTTTATACCTTCATATTTTTTTTTTCATTGCTCATTTTGGAAAAGGGAAGCCCTCACTGGGGCCAAATTAATGGGTTTTGCTCTAAATTAATTTCATTCCTCCCCTACACCCTAATGGCAACTGACTTCCAGTAATATGGAAAGGCAATATGGTGAACTTCTCAGCCCCCAAAGGGAGATTTCCAATGAAGGCCAAGAGGTTCATGTTTAGGTGGACAAATTTTTCTGTGATGGGCAAAGGAATGTTCTGGGAGACTTAAAAGACTCTCAAACCACATGCTAAATAGCAAGAAACCTTCAGGCTTTAAGGCTATTCTATCTAGAGCTACAATTTGATCAGGGGATTATTAAAATTTCTATTTAATTCTACTTTGGGAAATTGGGCTTTCATCTTCTTTGCTGATGTATCTATTATTTCAATCTGCTCTTTTATTTTCTTTGGATAGTCTTTTTCATTGTTATTTTAAAACATTATTTTAATAATTCTTAAAAATTCTTTAAAATATTCCAGTTCAGTTGCTTTCTTTTTTCTTCCTTTTCTTTTTTCTTTTTTTTGGGGGGGGAGTGTTGAATTCAGGGGCACTCAAATACGGAGCCACATCCCCCAGCCCTATTTTGCATTTTTTTTTTTTAAAGAGAGAGTGAGAGAGAGAATTTTTTAACATCCATTCCTTAGTTTTCGGCGCACACAACATCCTTGTTTGCATGTGGTGYTGAGGATCAAACCCCGGGCCGCATGCATGCCAAGAGAGCGCGGTACTGCTTGAGCCACATCCCCAGCCCCTATTTTGTATTTTTTATAGAGACAGCATCTCACTGAGTTGCTTAGTGCCTTGCTTTTGCTGAGGCTGGCTTTGAACTTGTGATCCTCTTGCCCCTGAGCTTCTGGGATTACAGGCATGAGCCACTGTGCCTGGCTCAGCTGTTTTAAAGTTAGTTCAATTCAGGGATCCAGCAGCCCCAAGGTGAGTCAATCATGATTTCAGACAAACTTCTTTTCCTCTTGCAAAGTTGTGTTTGTGGGCTCATTTCTCATACTGGTGGCAGTTAGAAGCATAATGTTTACTGTGGAATTAGGTCCATTGTTGCTCCTCAGAGTTTGGTGTGAAAGGCACTTCACTTTTGGGCTCCCTTAGGAATGTCCTGAGGCTTTGGATTCTGATATTTCACAAACACTTTGCACAGATGCTGTTGGAAGCAGCCTCACTCTTGTCTGCTCAGATGAAGTCAGTTACAGGATTCCTTGGCAGGTGGTTGCGGGACACAGGAGTGGGCATCAGGCGACCTTGGGAGCTGTGGGACTTTGCAAACTGTAATAGCAGGAGGCGGGGACTTAGAAATTGCTCTGCATACACTCTGTTGTTTCAGGGCACATCTGTTGACACTGGCTTCCAAGGAAGTCCAGGCATTAGAAGGCGATACTCTCTGCTGGCAGCACTTCCTCCAAACCCTCTTTGTTCATTGATTTAAAAACAACAGGAGGCAGGAAGCCCAAGATCCTGGAAGTACCCAGCTGGTCTCTGTCCAGCCAAGTGTGTGGTGCGTCCCCTTCCTGGTAGGGAGTGAAACTTGGAGGCCTCTGGGCCCTTCCCCAGAACTGTATATGCAAATCAAAGTGGGGAGAGCAATGTACTTCTCTTTGATCTGGGCTGAGATGTGTGCATATGGGATGGAGCCTTTCTTGTCTCCTAGCTAAGGTTAGAGGGTGACCACAGTGCTCGGACCCCTAGATAACTTCATACCCTGAATTTTTCACAAGTGTACAGTGCCTTAGTCTGCATTAGCTGGAAGTCCAGCTAGAAACAAGCATGGGTTGGATGACATGAGTGTGAATGACCCTGATGTGGCTGTGGTGACCCTGAGAAGGGGTAAGCAGAATATGGGAGAAGCAGGTATCCCTGCTGTTTGCCAAGTAAGGCCACACCTAGGTTCCATGAGCAGCATGGGGCATCAATAAACAGACACAGACATGGCAAGTGGAGTTTATATGGGAGTGATACACCCAGGAAGAATGCTTGGGGTTAAAAAAATGTCACTAAGAATTGACTAACGACTGGGAAGTCATTCAGGTCTCCAGGACCTTCAGATGCTAAAAAAGGATATTAYTACTAATGATAATATTAGTTCACATATATCAAATGCTTATCCTGTGCCAAATTCTATTGCAAGYACTTTACATGTTGTAGGGTTGTAGGATAATATTATCCAATTATCCTACAACAAGCATACCATTATGATCCTCATCTCATGGAGGAGAAAGCTATAAATGGATGAATTGTGAGTTTCTTTAGAAAGTAATGTAAGGAAATATAGTTCTTCTTACCACAGACAGGTTTGGTAGAAGGAAAAGCTTTCTGACATTATAGTTCTCCAAAGGACAGTGGAAGGGATGGAAGGAAGAGAAGAAAAAAACATGTATTAAGCATCTACCATATGCCTGAGCCTGGCCTTGGTATCTCCTGTGAATCACTTCAGTTAATCCTTGCAATAATTGTATTAGGAATGGGTTATTATTTTCATTTTACAGATGAGGAAACTGAGGCCCAGAGTCATTCAATAAAACTGAAAATTTTCTAGCAGTAAGTAGCAACCTAGATTTGAATACCAGTGTTTTTGGCTCTCCCATTCATTGCTGTTGCTTCTTAGAATCAAGATGAAGGTGATCGGAGGCACAGATACTAGGCCAGCTTCTCCTGTTGTATACTCATGTGTCAGCCTGAATTTCACAGGCTTTGGTCTTCATTCCGCTGGTAGCTGTTTTATTGCTTATATTCCTGACTAGACTGCAAGATGAACATGGTGCCCAGGAATTTTAAAGAGTGAATGAAGACCAGTACAGAACCCTTGTTATGACAAGAAAAGTTAAAATGAGGATAATTAATCTCCCATTGGGATGTTGTAGACAGATTCTTCTGTTAAATCAGGGATGAATTATCGGTGATTCCAATCCCAGCACGTCTTCAGAATTACCAGAGGGATTTCTATCCATGTTGACTCTTAGGCCTACCCAAAATTAGATTCTCTGGGAGCAGGGGCCTGGCTATCAGACTTGGCATCACTCTGGTTGATYCTGCTACATGGTCAGGTGAGGGACCCCAGCTGATGTGTCTGAAGACTAGCCTGATGCACATCATCTGTCCTTGGGCTTGCTTCCTTCTTGCTACCTGTGCCTAAGCTTCTCTGCCTACTGGGCTTTGAGGCAAGGCCAAGCTGATACCTACAGCCCAAAGGGAGGTCTTGTGCTGACTCAGGCCCAGGACCTTATCAGCTGAGTATTTGCTGAGCAAAGTTCAGCCAAGGCAGCACTCTGGATCCGGGTTTAGCAGCTACTCAGGCTTCCGGGCCTTTGATTCAGAGACCGGTCCTTGGGGCCCTTATCAGTGAATAATAATGGGCCCCGTATGTGAGTCCTAAGGGTCAGTGCTTCTTACCACTCTTGGCTGATCTAGGCCTGGCCTCCAAGGATCCAGGGCCCCTAGACCACAGGCTGTCTGAGCAGGCACATTGTCACAGCATAGCAGGATTGCTTTTGGCTTGCTCTCCCTGGTTAAGAAGAGCCCTGTGATCTGGCCCATATTTGGATTGGTCTTTTGGTTTCTTGTATTTGGGTTGGTGCTTTTAGTTTCTTTGATTACAAAGGTAGAGAAAACCTTTTAGCAGCAAGGAAAACCTGATCCCAGGTTGTATAGTTCACCATTAGGTGTTTGTCCTATGTCCTGGGYGTTCCAGAGAACCTAGGTGCCACTTGCTATAGCCCGTTAATTCCAAAGGTACTGAAGAGGTGAAAGACAGATGAATGAAAGCACATTTTAAAGAATCACCAATTGATTAATCAACAAATAGCTACTGAACTCATTAGAGACATGCCACTTGAGAAGATATAGATAAATAAGGTGTAATAGCTCACCTTGGGAAGTTTATAATCTACCTGTGGCATTAGAAACTTATGCCAAAAATAATATTATATGCAGATAAAAATTTCTTGAGTGCTTACTGTGTATCTGATTTTATTCAAAGCATATAGCTAATTTCTTATTTATTAGGTCAAGTGACTCCTCAGAATATTCTTTTAATAATAAATTCAGAGTCTCAGGGGCAGGATTCGAGGCCTGTGACATTGGACTCAGAGTCCCAGATCTTTCTGCCGCCCTCTGCTGCCACCTATGATGAATGCTAACCAGATCTGGGAATATTTGAGTTGTGGTTATAGAAATTCCATAGTTTATAGGGGTTGAAAGACGTAGGAGAGAATCTGCCCGTGGTAAAATCTCAAGAGATGAGGAGGTAAGACATATAGGGACCATGTAGAGAAGAAGACAGACCTTCTGGTGGAATCAGAGTGTATGTAGCTGTTACTGTGCAAAGTGGTTAGAAAAATGGTTCAGATCTCACTGTGAAGTCCTTTCATTTTAGACAGAGGGGTTGGRCATCAACTGCTGGGTGTGAAGGAGCCACAGCGGGCTTGAGGGCAGGAAGAGTGACAATACTGGGAGAAATATTCTAGGAAGTCTCATGTGGTCCTCTCAGGTGTTCAAGCACAACTTAGTAGAGTAGGCGGATCCTTGAGACAATGGGCACCTGGGTTTGGGGTTTGTCTGAGAAGGGCCACAGGTTCCAGTGACATTGCTTTCCACAGCCACAGCTCCAGAACAAGCTCCGGCCCCACCTCGGCCATACCAGGGTGTCCGAGTGAAGGAGCCAGTGAAGGAACTGCTGAGGAGGAAGCGTGGCCATGCCAGCAGCGGGACAGCTGTTACACCTACTGCGGTGAGGGGGCCACAGTGGACAGTGTGTGTGTTGGGGGTCACAGAGGGTTGGGCAGGGGTGTACCCGTTGGGGGAAGGAAGGCAGGCAGTTACACGGGGATGTATAGGAGATGGACCTAGTTCCTTGAGGTGGGATGAGGGGCAGGGGGCCGGCTTGCTCAGCCCATAGAACAGAGAGAGCTGTTGATGAGGCCTCAGGAAGTGAATGACACACACCTTGGTGTGAGTTGGGCGTTCCTTCTGGGAAGAGAAAGATGCCATTTCCCTAAATCACAGCATTCTTGCAAAATGGAAACACAAATCCCTCTAAATGGCTGGAGTGTTTTATTCTGATCAGGGAGAGTCTTGCCTAAGCTTTCTACCCTGGAGTCCCTGGATGGGTTCCCTGCCTAGAACTGAGTGAAGATGGCTAAGCACCAGTCCTGTCCTGTCTTCTCCCTCTAGGTGGTGCTGCCCCATCAGCCCCTGGCGACCTACACCACAGTGGGTAAGAGCTCCCCACAKCCCTGGTGTCCTTCAGTCCCCTCATCTGGGTGGCATGGGCAGTTCTATAATTTCCTTTCTCCCACAGGTCCCTCCTGCCTTGACATGGAAGTTTCTGCTTCTACAGTGACGGAGGAGGGGGCCCTATGTGCTGGCTGGCTTTCCCAACCTGCCCCTGCCACTCTCCAGCCCCTGACCCCATGGACACCCTACACTGAGTATGTGTCCCATGAAGCTGTCAGCTGCCCCTACTCAGCTGACATGTATGTGCAGCCCGTGTGTCCGAGCTACACGGTTGTGGGGCCCTCCTCAGTGCTGACCTACGCCTCCCCTCCGCTCATCACCAACGTCACGGTATGTCACACAAAACAGAGCTGTACCTGCCTGCCTAAGGCACCTGTTTAGAAGTAGGGCTTTCTGACCCCTGGTCTTCCTTGGAGTTGGTTCCCGGGATCATCAGGTCATCCAAGTCTACCATGTCCAGGGAGGCCTGCTCCTATTTTCATTTACCTAACTATCTCCCATAAACATACCTGTCTTGTCGTGCCTTTTGTTCCTTTTGGTTGGGGAGAGCTCCTGCTTCTGTCCTGAATCTCCCCAGCTGGCCTGAAAGCAGTGAGTCTTGGTGACAAAGTTTTTAGTGAATGGGATACCAGGTGGACTCTGCCTTTCAATTCAATAAGGGAGTGATTTGGGGARTGATTTTTCACTGATTGTGGGAAGATTTCTAGGCTGAGCAAAAGATGACAGAACTTTTCAGAAAACTGTATTTTTGAGTCAGACCCAGCTATAGGGTATTTTTGTTATCTTTTGAGCTCTCTCTCTAATGTCAGATTGCTTRTGTTCAAATCCAGCCCTTTACCCTTTAAGCTGTATGTCCCTGGCTTACTAACTTGATTTGTTGGAGCCTCAGCGTCCTCATCTGTAAAATGGAAATACTAACAAGAGGGAGGTTGTTGGGATGAAATGAGGTTATRCATGTGGAAGTTTTAGCACAGTTCYTGGCATACAGAAATCACTCACTCAATAAATAAATTATTCACTGTCATCATATCAAAGTCTGCCAGCAATGTCAACCAACGCCCTCCTTCAACTGCCAGGCAGGAAAAGAAGGTCCTGCTCTCTGCCACTCCTGCCCCCAGGAATGGGGGAAGGCAGTCATAGTTTTGTGAATGGTGTGACATATGTGACCAAAGGAATGGGAGTCCCTCCAGTGTGCAGGAAAGAAAAGACTGATAGTTGTAGGGGTACCCAGCTGAACTCCAGGGAAATTGGGAAGTAGAGCTGGGTTTCCTGAGCAGTCATAGAGGCCACCCTCCAGGTGGAGCTTGTTTTGGTTCTCCATGACCCTTGGGTTCCCTGGAGGGTCTAGTGTCATCTGATACACCTGTTCCCTGCCTCTAAGCACCTTCCTGGGAAGGCTTGTGGAAGGCCCACCTGGCTATCCTTGACATGAAGGTCTCTGCTTCTACAGTGAGGGAGGAGGGGGCCCTGTGTGCTGGCTGGCTCCAAAGATGAAGCAAGTCATTTCCATATCAGGGGCCCTTGGCCGGGACAAAGAGGGCAGGACATAATGGTTCCCAGCCATTTCATTACCAAGGCTTCTTTTCTTTATTTATTCCCTTTCATCATCCCCACCTTCTTCTTTGAAATGTTCTGTGTAGCAAACAAACTGTATTTAGTAAGAAATAATTTATTTGTTTTGCTGTTTTGTGAATTAACTCATCAAAGCTGGCTTGTGCTACCAGTCAGCACTCCTGATCAGCAGAGATAAGAACTGTATGRTGCTGGTTTAGTGTAATTCTACCCCTGCACAAGGAACCCTGCAGTTGTAATTGACCTATAGAAGTTGAGGACACAAAAATGAAGGGTTTCCATTTGGATTTTTGAAGTAATGGAAATAATCAGGCTTTTCCAGATCCTGTCTAGTTTCAGGTTGCTGGATTGGGTTCCTGAGGCTCATGTCAAAGGAGATGAAGTGGCTGTGCACAGTGAAATGTGCACACCAGCCAGGATGGGGGGAGCTTCCAGCTCCAACATGCTATGGAAAAACACCCTAAAGCCTTGCTACTCAAACTGTGCTCCCTGGACCAGTTGCATTGGCATGGCCTAAGATCTAACTAGACATGCAGAACTCCAGACCCTTCTCTAGACCTCTTGGACCCAAATATGGAAGCTGGGAAAAAAACAACAACAATAAATTGTGTTCTAAAAGACTCCAGTAGTTTATTTTCAAGGCATAGTGGCAACTGGAGAGAGATGACAAGGGAACAGGGATGAAAGGGGGARATTTTGGCCATCTTAACATCAATTCATGCAGAGAACCTCTACTTCTGCCTACTTGCCTCCACTGTGAAAGAATAGTAGGATCTAGGTGCTGCCTCTGGCAGGCGGGATCTAGGTTTGTGAGATAGTCACTGTACAGGTGGGATTTTTGGTTCATGGAGCTCATGGGAGAATGGCCCTGCCTTGGAGCATCATGGGTCACCAGGGATGCCATGGCTATTTGCAGCTCAGAAACTGGAGGAGAGGATGCAGGAGGCACAAGCAGCAGGAGAAAGGCCATATTCATTGACAGAGTAGTGCTTTCCCCCATCACAGAATGGCTGGGCTTCCCAGGTCACCACCAGAAAGTGATGCAGTTGTGTTGTTCACCCAGACCTCAGGAGGCCAGATCTGCTGTGTGGAGCCAGTGTGTCTGGGCAGGACAGCGGCCACCTCCAAGATACAGCTTCTGGGCTATGTGACAACCTCATTCTTTAACATGTATAATTCAGAATTTAAGATACATGTATTTTTCACATTTTAAGGTTTCRGAAATTGGGATATATTTTATATTCAATGAAATCTAGAAAATCCTCTCTAATTTGCTCAACCCTATGACTTCATTACCAATTGTATCCCATTTAATAGATGAGAAAAATGGAGCTTATGAGTTGGGAAGTAGCATAAGCAAGAACATGTAGCTAGTAAGTGACAGATGATGGATACAATTTAAGTGTGTCTAACTCTYCCTTGAGGGAGGTTTTGAGAAGGAGGAGGTAGAGCCCCCTGAAGTGAGAAACAGGGAAGGGCAGAGTTGAAGGAAGAATTGGAGATTCTTGAGTCAAGGGTGGGCAGGTGGATGTGCCAGGGCTGCTAAACCTTGGTCCTGTGTTTCCTCATCACAGACAAGAAGCGCTGCCACACCCACGGTGGGACCCCAGCTGGAGGGCCCAGAGCACCAGGCGCCCCTCACCTATTTCCCGTGGGCTCAACCTCTTTCCACGCTGCCCACCTCCACCCTGCAGTACCAGCCTCCAGCCCCAACCCTGCCTGGGCCTCAATTTGTCCAGCTCCCCATCTCTATTCCTGAACCAGTCCTTCAGGACATGGATGACCCCAGGAGAGCCATCAGTTCCCTGACCATCGACAAGCTGCTCTTGGAGGAAGAAGATAGCAACACCTATGAGCTTAACCACACCCTCTCCGTGGAAGGCTTTTAGGGCTGGATCCCACTTGAGAATCCTTTCCCCTGAAACTGGGATTTAAAAATAAGCTTGCAGTTGAGCTCAGATTCATATCTGGAATAACCATTTTATAACATGACCATTTCATAACATCATATCAAAACATAACGTAACTACACTTTTTACACGAAGCTAGAACTGTAGTCTTCCCTTTCTCCCTACTTCTCTTTCTTCYTTTTTTTCCAGTCCTCTTCCTTTGGTAAGAGAAATTCAGGATATTAGGGATAATATTTGATGCCAAGTTTTGTCAATTCTGCAATCCACTTCRTTTCCATTTCTATCACTTCTCATTCCTCAGGGATGTCCTTTTCTTTCCAGTGCCCTCTGCTGTGTCATAGCAGCAGCATTGTAGAACTGTCCCAGGGCCAGTTACACCCTCTGTCATTTTGAGATATATGGGTGCCCTGCGGGGAGACCAGCCTTGCCAGCATCTCCTGGGCGAGGCAGCCCAGGGCAAACCTGATGCCAGAGTYCTTGAGCTGTCAGTTCTCATAGTTGCTCCTTTGTTTGCTGTTCTCAGCCTTGGCCAGATTTACAGTCTGGGCAGCAAAGGCTCAAGGGCTTGGGCTCAGCATAGTGACAGATAGGGATGGGAAAGGGTAGGGGCAGGTCAGGGAAGGGAGAGAGGGCAGAAGAGGCCTGGGAACACACTTTGGGGTTGGGGTGGGGGTGTGGAAGGGGAAGCTGGGTCTTAGGGGGAGAGGAGGAAGGCTGAGAAGTCATTTAGCTCTAGGTTTCTTGATTTCTAAGAGGCACAGTGAATTCAGGAAAAATATTGCATTAAGAGTTAGTTTTGAAGCTCTTCTAGAGGATGTTTCCAAAGAAAGCTGAGTTGCCATAAACAGAAGGATGGATGTGTTTTGTGTCCCCTTCCAGATACTCTGCCATACCCCATGAAGCCTATTGGCAAGGGGTCCTGCTTAGTGATGTTATGTGGATTTTCTAAATGTCTTAGGACATCTATAAGCCACCATTATGAGGAGCCAGGGCTTCTTCCTTCCAAGCACCATCCTTCCTGGGGGTTTCTAGAGYCTTAGCCAGAAGTACCATTAGGTTTTATTTCAATTTTTCTTTTATATCATTGCAGGGGACTGAGTACAATTGTTGCCAGGGTGCTTAGCTCCTGATGGTGGATGTGTGCCTTGGGAGCCAGCACAATCGTCTGCTGATGACACCATTGTCACCATTAGGCAGTCACTTTAGTCAGCAGAATCCACATAGAAGTAATATGGGAGGGAGAAGGGGAATTGCACAGAAGATGGAAGGAGACCCTCATCGTTATACAAAATACATATATGATGGTGTGAGGGGGAAGAAAAAAGATAGAGAAATATGTCACAGTAGATTGGGTAGAGAGAGGTGATGGGAGGGGAGGGAAGGGGAGGGGGGATAGGGAGGGCAGTAGAATACAACAGACACTAGTATCGCTGTAGGTATAAACGTGGATGTATAACCAATGTGATCCTGCCATCTGTACATGTGGAAAAATGAGAATTCATACACCATTTGAATCAAATGTATGATATGTCAAGATTATTGTATTGTCTTGAGCAACTAATTAAAAAAAAGAAGTAATAGACTGCTGGGAAATGAACAATTTCTTTGACACATTTTCTTTGCCATTCTAAATAAAAACTCTGGACAAAGTTGCCTTTCTTTTTTTAGAAGTTTTTTCCTATTTGGGTTATATTTTAACCCAAATTCTTGGTATCTGCTTAAAACCCCAGTACACATATTTTGAATTATTTTTATTCAGACTTAATGTTTCATTTTAAAAGCTTGATACAGCAACGTAGATGATAAATGTACATCTCGATTGACAGTACGTAATCAGGCAAGGGAGAGGAGAGGTCCCAATCCTGTTGGATTAAACTCCTGGTTCCCCATAGAAATCTATGCAAGATTTTCCAACTCTTTGAGGATTTGAGAGGATGCAGAAACAACCTTTACAAAGGAACTAAAGTTGGCAAAGAAAATATGTAGTTGTTAGGATTGAAATTGTATCTTTCCCCCTTCTTACCTTGAGGCCCGATGGCTTGTTTGTAATCATTCATTTAGGTTTCTTTCTGGGTTATTCTGCTAAGATGGAAACATTTTCAATAAAGATTTATGGAGTCATTTCTGCACCAAAGTGTTTTATTTCTTATAAAATTAATCCCCCCTTAGTTTTCAGTCTCCGAATGGCAGTGCCATTAGAGGATTTTGCAAAGTGATCTGTTGCAAAGAGGAGATAAAAACCCATCGCTGCTGTGTTCACCGTCCAATTATCCCGTATAGGTCATACACATGGGATGGCCAGGTGGCTTGGTCTCCAGGAGACTGGGGAGTGGGTTGGTGTCTGAGAATTGAAAGAAAATATTTCACTTCTATTGCTCCCATTATACATGTTACASAAGTAACTGATGATGCTGGTTGTCCAGGGAAAAGTTCTACCATTTGCATTTCTAAAGAGCCACCAGTCAGGACCCAGGGACTTGTAATATCATGCCCAGTGAAACTCATCTCTTAGTGCTTGACATCACAGTGAAATGGAAATTGAAGAATTCAGTCAGTTCCCTCCACCATCAATCCTTGGAGTGAGTAGCAATTTTGGAGGGGGCTCCTTTCCTGGTTGTTTCCTGAGTTACTAAGGACTTATGAGCTCTCTGCCTTTTTTGTTAATCTTTGTTGGGGCAATTGCTTTCAAATTAACCATGTTATTCTACTGTATGTCTTATTTCCAGATCTGATGGGATAGTAACATATCCAGGTTTTTAGCTCAATTGAGAGTATTGAGACCATTAATTATTTTTGTGTAGTCATGTAGATCAAAACCTTGAAAAAAAGAGCTGGGGTTGTAGCTCAGTGGGGAAGCACTTGCCTAGCATGGGTGGGGCCCTGGGTTTGATTCTCAGCACCACATTATAATACATAAATAAAATAAAGCTTAAATTCTTTAAAAAAAATACCAGAAGACATGAAGGAAAGGCATTAGGGTTTTTTTCCTATAGCTTTAGTGAGACTCAACTATAAGAAAAGCTCTATTAAAAATGCACTGTGCCTTAATCAACTGTCTTTTGAAGTAATAGTGTGAACAGCCTGGTCTGCAATGGGAAGAGAGAGGTCAGCTTGGTGTTTTGTAAGATTCTGTTCTGCATTTCCAGCATGAAGATGGGGATCCAGGAACAGATGAGTATATGGTAAGAGTATATGGTAAGCTAGACATGTAGAAAATAACAACATCATATAACCAAGTGGCTCAAATTCCCTGAACATCAGGCTGTAACCCATCTAAGTGGAAGTTTAAAGATATATTCTAAAACTAAACATAAATTTCTTGAAATCAGAAACCATTGGTAACTTATTTTATATGAATTTACTTCATTTGTGAGTCTAGAATGATATGCTCAATGATTTCTTGTTGAATTAATTGGGGAGATTCTCTACTGACTGCTCCTAAATTTGTTATGGATGATTGCAAGTTGATTATAGGAGGGTCTCCGTAACTGGACCTGTAGACACAGATGCTGCTCAAATGTTTTCTCTGAAAGCTTGGATAGAAATATCCAGAAGCCGGCATTCTATTTGTCAGTTCTATAGCTGCAAAAGGAGTTTGATTCATTCATTCAGCACATTAATTTATAATCATATATATTTGTGTGGTACAAGGTGATGTTATGATTTATGAAAATATGTGGAATAATTAAATCAAGTAAATTAGCATAACTATCACTTTAAATATTTTTTGTGGTGAAAACATTTGAAATTTACTTTATTATAAATTTTGAAATGTTTAATACACTGTTATTAACAATATTCACCATACTAAGAAATAGGTCTCAAAACAAAACAAAACCCTGTTTATCCGGTCTGAGATTTTGACCATCATCTCCCCATTCCTTCCACCCTCCAGCCTCCCTAACTACCATTCTACCTTCTGCTTTTATGAGTTTGACATTTTTAGATTCAGCTTGTGAGAATACATGTATTTGTCCCTCTATGTCCAGTTTATCTCACTTAAATGTTCTTTAATCCTATTCATGTTGATGCAAATGATGGAATTTCCTCTGTTTTAAAGGCTCAATAGTATTCCTTGGGTATAGATACCACATTTTCATTATTCATTCATCCGTTAATGGGCATGTAAGTTGATTCTATAACCTGGTCATTATAAATAGTGATGCAAGGAACATGGGAATACAAATATTTCTGCTACCTGCTAATTCAAATCTTTTGTATAAATACCCAGAAGTGGATTGCTGGATCATATGATAATTCTATAGTTTAAGTGTTTTGGGGGGACCTCCATATAATTTTCATAATTAAAATTCTAATTTACATTCTCACCCACAGTGTACAAGGKTTCCCTTTTCTTTACATTCTTGCCTACCCTTGTTATTTTTTGTTTTTTCGATGATAGTCCTTCTGAGAAGTATGAGATAGTGCCTCATCATGATTTTAATTTGCATTTTGCTAGTAATTAGTCATACTGAACATTTTTTCGCTATCATATTTACTTATTGAGTGCCAGCTCTGGGATAGGCAGGTGTCAAGATTTATATAGGTGCCTACCTCGAATAGTTTCATAGCCCAGTGATCTCTTTTCATTGASTATTTATTCTTATATATGTATATTTGATTATGAATTATATCCTTGAACTACTCTATGAATATAATATCCATTATAGAACACTTATGACAGTAGCAATTTTAAAAGATAAGGTAAATATAAAACAAGTAATATTTAATTATTTCATTTATTAATAATATAAAACTATATTTGACCCCATAAGTGTAAATAATATTTAGAAGGGCAAATATTACTGAATATGGCTRATTGCATTTATAAATCTTTGTGATGAGCCAATTTAAAGGGATGGGCCTAACTTTGATTTCAGTAGTTTGTTTGAATGGAAGTCAAAGCTGAAAAGGATATACACAAAGATATTTAGGTCCATATAAAAGCAGGGTGTCATTGGATATGCTAAGCAAATTATAGAAAATCATTTAGAAATCCCTTCCATCAGTTATGCAAAGGTTT